TGCGGTGTTCACTAGATAAAATAGCTATGAGTTGAACATATTTTGGTGAAAACGAACTACTGTATCTAACCAGCTGGCTCCTGAAGCCTATGTGACATGTCTATGTGCCCATGAGCTCCCGGGTCTAGACGCAGTCTAGCTAACGTTAACTAGCTAGCGTTGCTAACTGAGTTGTTTTATAAGAAAACGGCTGAGGTGACTCAAACCATTTAGCTAGCTAACAAGCCCTCCTCTACGACAATGTTATTGGGTTACTGGAATATTAGATATGTCTTTTAAATTTAAGATAACTGTTCTTGAAGTTCGTGTTCACTACTGATTCTAGATCCGAGGGGAGAGAAATTGTCCACCATTGTTTGGTAAGGGATCGTAGTGATGTCACGCACCCAAGAGGGCTCAACCAATCACCTGAAGGATAATAACAACTTTGCCTCAGGCTATCCTATGAAAGGAAATGTTGCTTACTGTAGTTGCCAATTTGAGCTAAATGTGTGTCTCGATTAACCTTGGGAATAGATATAAGGCTGGAGAGTTCATTTGTGGAGTATTGGCAAAATGTAATAAAAGATATATAGGAGTTTTGAGTTTGGACTTGTATTACCTACCAATAGACAAAAAGGCCCGGAAGTAGCAGTACATATCCCACAGAAAAGCTATGCGTTTTCTCATTGAGTTGTTTAATGATAGGCCTATCACTCTTCATTATTTTGTCTATTAATAAAGATGGATCACATTGTATCTGTCTCTCATGCATACACCCCTTTCAAATGAACAGCTCAGCCTGTCTGCCATGATCTATAGCGTCCCGTTGTGAGATAAAGTATTGAGCCAGAATTACGTAAAGCACCACTATGATGTGTTTACTCCCTCCCTGGACACAGGCAAATGTATAAATGAAAATCAGCCAACAGGCAAACGTCGCCTTTAAGATAACTCCATATGTAAATCACAGATCACACACAGCGCATGCACGCACACACGCACATGCAGGGAGACCAGCGCAGACAGCCCAGAGGGAGAAGAGACTGAGCAGATTTATGAGGCAAGGGGAAATTGTGTTGAAGAGGATTTGTTAATAAAAAAAATCTGTGTAGTTGAAAGTGTGAACAAAGCGTGCGCAGCTGGAAGCATAAAAGGAGAATAGTCTCAGAATCCCAACCTCCAGGCATTATGAGACTCATGGGCCCGAGTCCAAATTAATCAGTGAGCCGTTAATACGAAAGCTCCTCAAAACTGCACTGCAGGGAAGGAGACAGATGCCAAAGAGAGACGGAAGGGAAGCTGAGAAGAATTTGAGTGGCAGAGATTTGGAATGCTCTTTCAGTAGTTCTGAAATATCCTGAAGCTTAACTAATATATTTTTTGTTAACAACGTGTGAATAAAAAGCACAGGAGGTCATGGTGTACAGTACCACAATGTAAAGGCCTCTAAGCAAACCTCTCCCCCATACACATAAAAGATTCATAAGATAGGCCTATCAATGTTACATTTCTAAATTGTTCACCTAGGCCCACTCTGTCTCAGACAAATATAGGTTGTTAAAGGTTACAAGAGTGTAAGTATGATATAAATCCGCAAGCCATAAGCAGAACAACAGGGGTGATAAAAGGATAGCTCGAGGAGGATATCTTTTTTTCTAATCTTCCTGAATTGACTTCACATGCCGCAAGGCCGCTCATAAAGGAAATTGCTTCACACCTTTCCTGAAAGATAGTCTACCTCTACACTAATGGAGCAGAAAAGTGAAGACAGGTGGTTTGTGCCAAATGTCACTCTATTCCCTATTTAGTGCAATACTTTTGAGCCCTGGTCAAAAGTTGTGCTCTATCTAGGGAATAGGGTGCCATTTGGGACGCACACAGATATTTATAATTAGTATCAGCCAAGGAGGCATTGATATGATAGGAGACTGGCGCCGGTGCAATCCTCCTGTGACAGCCACTGCTGCATCACCCAAGAGTCTGAATCTGCAAAGCACAAAGCTAATCGATTTGCCCAGCACTGTGTCTGCTGTCGTCTAATTATTTACAAGGCGTGTGCATACAGCTTGCGTGGGGACTTTTCTTTTGACTCTGAGTACAGAGAAGACAAGTGTCATACAAATGAAATGCTTCTCTCTAGGAGGATTCCAGACGGGAGAAGTTACACAATGAGACATTGTTTTTTACATTGTGCAGAAGAGGCCCCTGCTATCAAGGACGACTATGCATGTTAAGTCTGAAGAGAAATTAGAGGATAATATGAGATAATGTTTCGGTGTCCCGCAGGGTCTAAAAAAATTATAATGAGCAGGTTTTTGAAAGTTGTTTTCAGTTTATCCAAGAAGCTGACTCTTCAGGAAGTAGTTAATGTGACATTACAATAAAAAATCAAAGTTTGATCAAATGTTTTCAGACTTCAAACCTGTTCTTCTGATGAAATGACGTCTGAGGCTATCTGTTTTGTAGATCCAGCTATATAACACAATCCAAAATTGGTGGAAAAGATAATCGCCATATAATTTCCAGATCTTTTCCATTGCTGGATCTACACAACTAATGGAGGATGATGTGAATTCATCTTAACATTGGACCACTTTTCAGGTGAAACAGATGATTTTGGAGTGTAATGTCCCTTTAATGCTGTGTCAACATGCAGAACATTAAAAAGTATTCAATTTCCATAATCATAAAGTAGAGTATTGCTGGCAATCAAGTGTCAAGTCAGGTACATTTTTTCATCTGTGCACTCAATTTCCCTTAATAATCTCCCTAAGGTCGATGTCCGCGCCCCCGTGGAAATGTTTTATCATAATAAAAAAATCCCCATAAAAATCTGTCAATTTAAGATAGAGATACTATATCTGTTTTTTTTTCTCAATCCACCGCATCTGCCTATGTAGTAACACTTCCACATCTGCAGTGAAAGGTGACAGAGCTAGAGCGATGTTTGTCAGACCATTAGACATCCCGAAAATCTGTCTTCTCACAAAATCTTCTGTCCGAATTGTTTGGCCTACAAACTATTATGACCCATCTATGGAAAGATGAGACTCTCACAAACACGTACATGTCGGTTTTGCTCTAGCACGCCCACAGGTCTCACAAGACTCATCTGAAGGTCCCCGGTACCAGTCAAAACATTTTATGGAAGTATTTATGGAGACTGTTTAGTGACAAAAATAAGGGGTTAAATACAGTGCATTCGGAAAGTATTCAGACCCCTTCCCTTGTTCCACATTTTGTTACGTTACAGCCTTAAATAAATAAATAAAAAAGTATCTTCAATGTACACACAATACCCCATAATTACAAAACAAGTGTTTTTATTTTTATTTTTTGAAACACTTGTCTATATAAGGTCCCACAGTTTACAGTGCATGTCAGAGCAAAAACCAAGCCATGAGGTCGAAGGAATTGTCCGTAGAGCTCCGAGACACGATTGTGTCAAGGCACAGATCTGGGGAAGGGTACCAACAAATTTCTGCAGCATTGAAGTTCCCCAAGAACACAGTGGCCTCCATCATTCTTAAATGGAAGAATTTTGGAACCACCAAGACTCTTCCTAGAGCTGGCCGCCCAGCCAAACTGAGCAATCGGAGGAGAAGGGCCTTGGTCAGGGAGGTGACCAAAAACCTGATGGTCACTCTGACAGAACTCCAGTTCCTCTGTGGATATGGGAGAACCTTTCAGAAGGACAACCATCTCTGCAGCACTCCACCTATCAGGCCTTTATGGTAGAGTGGTCAGACGGAAGCACCTCCTCAGTAAATGATGAAACCAAGATTGAACTCTTTGCCCTGAATGACAAGCGTCACGTCTGGAGGAAACCTGGCACCATCCTTACGGTGAAGCATGGTGGTGGCAGCATCATGCTGTGGGGATGTTTTTCAGTGGCAGGGGCTGGGAGACTAGTCAGGATCGAGAGAAAGATGAACGGAGCAAAGTACAGAGAGATCCTTGATGAAAACCTGATCCAGAGCACTCAGGACCTCAGACTGGGGCAAAGGTTCACAGTCCAACAGGACAACGACCCTAAGCACACAGCCAAGACAACGCAGGAGTGGCTTCGGGACAAGTTTCTGAATGTCCTTGAGTGGCCCAGCCAGAGCCTGGACTTGAACCTGATCGAACATCTCTGGAGAGACCTGAAAATAGCTGTGCAGCGACGCTCCCCATCCAACCTGACAGAGCTTCAGTGGATCTGCAGAGAAGAATGGGTGAAACTCCCCAAATACAGGTGTACCAAGCTTGTAGCGTCATACCCAAGAAGACTTGAGGCTGTAATCGCTGCCAAAGGTGCTTCAACAATGTACTGAGTACAGGGTCTGAATATTTATGTAAATGTGTATTCCGTTTTACATTTTTAATACATTTGCAAACAATTCAAAAAACAGTTTTTGCTTTGTCATTATGGGGTATTGTGTGTAGATTGATGAGGGGAAAATAACTATTGAATCCATTTAAGAATAAGACTGTAACGTAACAAAATGTTGAAAAAGTCAAAGGGGTCTTAATACTTTCCGAATGCACTGTAGCTTAGTAGTATTCCCCCCCCCTCCCCTGGCTTAGACAAAGCTTAGACTCTTATGGGTTTTAATTCAGACAGTTTTTTTTTGTCATCCGGCCTGATTGCAGTCCCCAAACCTACAGTACTGTACAATACATTTATCACACATTAATATCTGTTTGGATGGATTGCTTTGGATACCCTCCAAGAAATGGCTATGATTATCCATTTATGGGTACATATCATTATGGATGTCTCTATTGTGATTGATTGATACTCTGATGTCAAACACTCATGCACAAAAGCTCATCATAGCACTTGAGTGAGTATAAACACTACAGCATTCCAGGTATCAGAGCTACCTGGTTTTTCAGGTTTCCTTCCTGCTCTCTGATGGGAACCTACGCAATTTTCTTGGCAGGCAGTGCAGTGGAAACCGGTCATGTTACATTGCTATGCAAACAAGTAGTGAAATGGCTCCTCCTACGACCCACAGTTCACCACATTGGAGTCTTAGACACTTGTTTGCTGCCTCGCCTCCTCAGTAGTTGTCTACACACTTCATGGACAAAGGAGACCCCACGGAGAAATTCATCTGGGTTTGTGTGAGATTAGAGACACACAGGAGGTGATCTGCCCCCATGGATCGTGTTGACGAGGGCCTGGAGAAGTTCAGGATCTTCAAGAAGGATGACTTTGAGGCTGACTGGATTAAGTTGACGGAACGCAGCTTTGGCCAGGTCTACAGAGTGAAACTCAAGCTTTGGAGGGAAAAGTGTGCCCTAAAAAGCTTCGATACCACCCTCACTGCCACCAGTTTCTACAGGTATGGTTAATGTGGCTTTTTTACAGGCCTAGAAGATATACTCTAGAACATAATTTAATTGTCCGTTTTGAATAGAATAACAATCACTAAAAGAGAGCACATTTGGGTGTTTGGATAAGTAGCAGTTTGCAGTAGTGGTCGAAATACTGGGGAAATAAATGTGTTCGATTAGAAAGGTTGAAACTGACAACAGAAACCTTTTTGCTGAGGCTGCTCAGGTGTGGAAAAAATTTGTCAACTCCCCCTTACACTTGTATTTTCTTTCTTTGTAGGAGAATGATAGAGGAGGCATCCAAGATGGAGAAAGTTCAATTCAAGTACATTGTATCCATCTACGGGGTGTGTAATGACCCTCCCGCTGTGGTGATGGAGTACATGAGTAATGGCTCCCTGGATCGTCTCCTCACCAGCCACGTGTTGATGTGGCCCAAGAAGTTCCAGATGATTCACGAGGCCACCATGGGCATGAACTTCCTTCACAGCATGAACCCTCCTCTTCTCCACCTGAACCTCAAGCCTTCAAACATCCTTCTAGACGACCACCTCCACATCAAGGTGAGGATAGCTCCTCAGAGACACTGATATGCTGTTAAAGCAGCTATTACTGTTTAAAACATTTAATGATCTCTTGATTCTTTTTAATTAGGCATGCAAACATTAAAAAGTGTAGGGTTATATTTCAATAAGATTTCAGTGGTACATGCTAATGATTATCTGTCTGAAGAAAATGTCCCTCCAAAGATTTCAGATTTTGGCTTAATTAAGTGGGAGGAGGCTGGGAGCAAGAAGGAATTCATTGAGAATTTGACGGCGAGAGGAAACATTTGCTACATACCTCCAGAGACTTTCACCCTGTGCCCTGAGCATCCGGGAACCAAGTTCGATGTTTACAGGTGAGGTAGTTGCCAAGGGCAAATTCCTACAAACTCATACATAGGCCCACTATAGAACTGTGTCAATAGGCTAGTTTTCCCTCTCTCTGCAGACAGATTCCATAGTGTATGAAGTAATACAAACATTATGAGTTACTAACTAGATATATCAATAATTTATTCAGTCTTCGTTCCTAAAGTCATAGATTTTTTCAATATCGTTTCTATTGAGGTATAATCTTTGATCATATAATTTAGATTTAATGTACACTGAACAAAAATATAAACACAACATGTAAAGTGTTGGTCCCATGTTTCATGCGCTGAAATAAAAGATCCCAGAAAATGTCCATACGCACAAAAAGCTTATTTCTCTCAAATTTTGTGCACAAATTTGTTTACATCCCTGTTAGTGAGCATTTCTTCTTTGCCAAGATAATCCATCCACCTGCAGGTGTGGCATATCAAGAAGCTGATTAAACTGCATGATCATTACACAGGTGCACCTTGTGCTGGGGACAATAAAAGGCCACTCTAAAATGTGCAGTTTTGTCACACAACACAATGCCACATATGTCTCAAGTGTTGAGGGATCGTGCAATTTGCATATTGACTGCAGGAATGTCCACCAGAGCTGTTGCCAGATAATTGAATGTTTATTTCTCTACCATAAGCCACCTCCAACATCATTTTAGAGAAATTGGCAGTACGTCCAACTGACATCACAACCACAGACCCCGTGTAACCACGCCAGTCCAGGACCTCCACATCCGGCTTCTTCACCTGCAGGATCGTCTGAGCCACCCGGACATCTGATGAAACTATGGGCAAATGCTCACCTTTGATGGCCACTGGCACGCTGGAGAAGTGGGCTTTTCACAGATTAATCTTGATTTCAACTGTACCGGGCAGATGGTAGACAGTGTGTATGGCGTCGTGTGGTGAGTGGTTTGCTGATGGCGGTGAAGTTATGGTATGGGCAGGCATAAGCTACGGACAACAAACACAGTTGCATTTTATCGATGGGAATTTGAATGCACAGAGATACCGTGACTAGATCCTGAGGCCCATTGTCATGTCATTCATCCGCCGCCATCACCCATGTCGCAAAGACCTGTACACAATTCCTGGAAGCTGAAAATGTCCCAGTTCTTCCATGGCCTGCATGCTCACCAGACATGCCACCCATTGAGCATGTTTGGGATACTCTTGATCGACGTGTACGACAGCGTGTTCCAGTTCCAGCAACTTCGCACAGCCATCGAAGAGGAGTGGGACAACATTCCACAGGCTACAATCAACATCCTGATCAACTATGCAAAGGAGATGTGTTTCGCTGCATTAGGCAAATGGTGGTCACACCTGATACTGACTGGTTTTCAGATCCACGCCAATACCTTCAAAAAAATGTTATCTGTGATCAACAGATGCATATCTGTATTCCCAGTCATGTGAAATCCGTAGATTAGGGCCTAATGAATGTATTTCAATTGACTGATTTCCTTATGTGAACTGTAACTGAGTAAAATCTTTGAAATTGTTGCATGTTGCGTTTATATTTTTCTTCAGTGTCATTAGACACATGGGGAATGAACCACATAAAAATGATCCTGTCCGATTAGTGGTCTTACGTGTTCCTTGTTTTAATATAGCTTCTCTATTGTGATGTGGGAAATCCTGACCCAGAAGAAACCTTATCAAGGTGGGAAACGTGAGTAGCGGTAATGCAATCTGATTCGTGTATCTGATTTATTTTTAAATGAATCACAGACACAGTAGTGTTTGACAAAGTTCAGGTAGTTAAACTATACAAGCTAATAATCACCTTTTACATTGAGTTCATTTTTTAAATAATTTCTCATCTGAATGAACATATAACTTCCTGTGACACAGGAAGCAGTACAACAACAGTGCTGATGAAGGTGTCATCAGGTAGAAGGCCAGGCGTGGAAAAGATCCCTGATGACAAGCCACACGAATGTGAGCAGATGATCACAATAATGCAACAGTGCTGGGATCAGAATCCCAGAGAGAGGCCGGACTTCTCAGGTAACACTTCACCTGATTCCAGATCTGTTTGTGCTGTAAAATACTGTAGAATAGAATAGATAGGTTATTGTTCATTTGGTTAGAAAGGAAATTAGTCTTCTGCATTTTTCCCAACCCCAGACACACCCACACGTTGAGAGGCACAGGGTCAGCCACGGTGCAGTGCAAGATGGAGAGATATTTTGGGGGTTTACTCAATGGCACAATGGTAATAATCTGACACCAGCAGCCCTCCAGTAGCCAATTCAGTCCACACTTTTCCATCGCCCGGCTTCTGGGCTACCTACCTCCAACCAACTCCTATTGTCATTGTCATCAATGCCAGATATACGCAAAGATCTGGGATCAGGCTTTTTGGGTACTTCAGATTATCACAGGTGTCTGTAATTATCTCTGGCCCACTGTGTGGCCTTACCTGTCCCACTATTGTTTGTGGAGATATGCTCTGATGAAGGTCGATTGACCGAAAGCTTAGTCTCTATTAAAATGAATTTGTGACTGGAAGTTTGCGGATACTTTTTCCTGTTTCTTCAGTTATGTATTTTGCCTCCAGCACCTTCACTATTCGGTTTTGGGTGTGCGGTAGATTCTGCCTATTTATCTACATTTTCATATATATGAAATATAAAACAAAATTAAATAAGATGATTTTAAGGTAGAAAATGGAACGACAAAGCTGTAAAACATTAGCCTAAATTTAACCCATCAACTTAGTAAATACCATTGGTGTGTTTCAGTATTAAATATCCTTTATATTTTTACACACTTTTATTTATTTGACTATGTCAATATGTCTTTGTTGTAAATGTTTTGGGGCCAAACTGGTTGTTGTGAAAAAAGTCAATAGTTGGAAGAGTTGCAGAGTTAATTGAAAATAATGCCATTGTTGATTAGATGCTTTTTTCATTAATTAGGCTATTTTCTCTTTAACCATATGGTCTATTCCCTAAAAACTCATGGACAATATGGACACAGATATTAGAAAAATGAATACTTTATATGAATACGTTTTTTAAAAAGTTAATCAAGTATAAATGACCAAAATTACCATAGATTGCCATAGATTACCTGTTAATTACCAAAATTACAGAAAAATATGGTAACTTTGGTAAATTACCGGTAGTTTATTTACCAAGTACTCAGACATCACTTTGACCTGAATTGCACAGCAATCAGTACCTCTGCATCTGTGTTAAAGATCATAATTATCCCGTCCAGGGCTTGTAGACTGTCAGCTTTCTGATCTTAGACTTTGAGGAGACTCAGAGAGACTCAGAGAACACATGCTCTGCTCAGTGTAATGCTTACTGATGTGAGATGCCTTATTGTAATATTCTAAAATAAACTCGGATACAATTGGATCATTTACAGGAGCTGCAGGTCACTTAGTTAGGCAAGCAATTAAGGCAAAGGATTAAAGTGCCATGTTAATGAACACTAATAAACACCATATGTATGCATACACTACCACATCGAAATTAGCAACATCACTAAGCAATTGTCCAGTCGTGTAAGCATATCGGTGGGATTTGATTTATGCATCAAACTTTGTTTCAACCACAATTTGATTAGCTGCATTATCATCCCCTCCTCTATTGAGCCAGTAGGCCTATATTTTCCATATTACAGCATTATTAAGCATAAGAATAGGTTATTTGCCTTCTACTTCACGTCATAAAATGGACACCTTAAATCTGTATGAACAAAAGGGTGCGTTTGTTTCAGTTGGATTTTTCTTCATCTTCAGTTCCCTTGAATATTGTGTTGGCTACAGCAGTTATTGTACATTATGAAAAGTTTTCATAAAACTAGTCCTCATGGTTTTTACAATCTGTTTTTCCCAAGATCAAAAACACTAATGTTTGAACAGAATTCTAAATGAATAACTTCACACTTGTACACATCTAGTTAACATTTTGAGTATGACAGATGCATGTAGTGCATAAATCAAATCCCTCTGAATTTGAGATTATGTTATCAATGACCAAACCTCTTTGTCTGTTTGTTTACTTCCAGACACTGTTCGAAAAACAGAAGCTCTGAGCGACATCCTGGGAATAGGTGGATGTAGCAACGGGGTTAATACACACAAACCTGATTATACCATGCTGTCGCCCAGCTGCAGAAGAGTAAGTGCTCAGTGCTGCATCCTCCATCAATGTTGAGATAACAGATCCAGAATCCACCATCAATGTTGAGATAACAGATTCAAAGCTCTCTCTCTCTCTCTCTCTCTCTCTCTCTCTCTCTCTCTCTCTCTCTCTCTCTCTCTCTCTCTCTCTCTATCTCTCTCTCTCTCTCTCTCTCTCTCTCTCTCTCTCTCTCTCTCTCTCTCTCTCTCTCTCTCTCTCTCTCTCTCTCTCCCTGTCTCTCATGATTTGCTCTCCCATGTGAATGTAAAAGAAAACCTTGATGATGCCAACTGTATGGTTGTATAATGTATGCATCTTATAAACAGTTCTCCTTAGCGCCGATTACATGTTCATCTGGTGCATCTCCAATATATGGGACAGAAAATATTTTGCTGAATATCAATAGCTAACTGTTACATATCGAGGTGATAAATAACAACTCCATTAATAACAACATTAACTTGTTGATGTGCTGCTCTTATGATGACTACTATTAACACTTCATTTTCATTATATCTCCATTCAGAAATCCACGTGCTCACTCGCCAACCCTCCAGGTGAGTACATAGGGAAAACATGTTAACTCATGTTCAATGTGTCGCAGTGCCACTAGGGCTGACATTTAAAATGCAATTCTACCAAGTGTTTTTCACATATGGAACTGGAGAAGGAAATGCGGTGCTAATTAGAGAAATGGACAAAAAGCTGTCCCTATGGATCATGTGACAAAATGCTTATTTAGCTCTGGCTCTTAGACGTGGGACGAAACAACAACTGTACAAAATGAATAATGCATAGGAGGAAAGCCTTGTCTCTTTAGATAAAGTACTTGTATGCAAATTCATGCACACTTCAATAAACCATGGCTACCGCCATACTCAAATGTGGCAGCAGACATATTGCTATACTGTATCAGATTGATTTGCAACTTTTTTGCAATGTCAGTACCTCTGCCTCTGTGTCTTATCTGGTTTATGTTGCATTTCTACATTCACAGACATGAGCAACACCAGCGATGACATTCTCAATCTTCTATCAAGGAAAGACTTTGAAAATTTCAGACAGGCGCTTAGGAAGGAGCATGTGTCTATGCTCTTCAAAGACAACAACACTCTCCTCCACTACACAGTGGTTAGTGGTGACACGGAGAGTGTGAAGCATGTCTTGAGCCTTGGTGTGGAGGTAAACTCACAGAGCGTCAGAGGATACACCCCTCTCATCGTGGCTGCGCTCCACAAGTTCCACGAGATATGCTCCTTACTGATGGAGCACGAGGCGGATGTTAAACTCGGAGATGGGGACCAGTGGACTCCTCTGCACTTCGCTGCTCAAAGCGGCGACAACAGATTGGTCCGTCTGCTACTGGACAGTGGCGCCCAGCCTAGCGCTAAGGAGAAAGCCGGGTGGACGCCGCTTCACCTGGCTGCTCAGAACGGCCACGAGGACGTTGTGCGTCTCTTCCTGACGCGGCTGGGGAGCGCCGACGAGCGCGAGGAGCTCCTTGGGAGGACGGCGCTCCACGTGGCAAGTGCATACGGCCACCTCGCCATCGCCAAGCTCCTGCTAAGTAAGGGAGTTGACCCCAACGGGACGGACCACTCCCTGACCACCGCTCTACACCTGGCAGCCGAGGAGGGCCACAACAGGGTGGCCAGGCAGCTGGTAACAGCTGGCGCTGATGTCAACTCCCTGGACAGCCGGCACTACACCCCTTTACACTTCGCCGCCCTCAAGGGACACACGGGCATCTGCAGGCTGCTGTTGGGCAACGGGGCGAATCCTGACCCCACGACCCTCCAGGGTTGGACGCCCATGCACTTGGCTGCGCTGAAGGGCCACGTGGCCACCGTGCTGGAACTGGAAGCCCACCAGGGCTCTGTGGACCCGCCAGGGAAGGGCGGCTGGACGCCCCTCCACTTGGCCTGCCACCACGGGCAGGAGGAAGTGGTGTCCAAGCTACTGGAGGCCAAGGCCGATCCCAACGTGGCAGAGGATAGCGGCTGGACGGCGCTCCACTTGGCGTGTAACGGCGGGTTTTTCGTCAGTGTGCTCCAGCTCATCTCGCATCGGGCCAACGTCAATGCTCAGAACAAGAGCCAGGCCACCCCGTTACACCTGGCTGCCCAGAATGGCAGCATTCCCATTATCAATGCCCTGTTATTGAATGGGGCAGAGAGTAGTAGGAAGGATTCGACAGGTTGCACAGCCCAATCCCTGGCCAGGAAGTGTCAGAAAGAGGAGGTAGTGCAGCTACTGGAGGACAGTTAGTGAGCCTTTCACACTACTGAGCCAAACCGAGCCGAGCCCTACCAAGTTGTACTGATCTTAACCGAGTCAAACAAAGATGTACTGAGCTGGCCTGGTTACATATCCACCATTGTTGCTGGAACCGTGCTAAAAAGAATGATGTGAGAAGAAACTATCCGAGTCAGTACAATTTTGTTCGGGTTGGCAAGATAGTGTAAAAAGGGTACTAGAAAGCTATGTTGAAATATAACTCTGGACAGGGTAACACTGATGTCAGGCGTAGTGTCTAAGAAGTACAGTCCATCACTGTTGGGAAGAGTGGATTGATTCTCTCTACTGATTTATGTCTCTACGGTGTCAATGCTGTAGTTCGGAATGTTATTCTGAATGCTCAAAGTTATATTGTTATGTTAATTTAAATGGTTCAGTTATTGTTCCAGTGCTCAAGGATGACCTTACTGTATGTTGTCGACATCTATAAATATGTAATTATGACTCTGACCATGAGTGGATTATGAAATCATTTTTCATTAGCTGGCAAAAAGTGGTTTATCATTCTCTGCACTGTGGTGACCAACCAAGAGGACTATATGTACACATACTTCTGTTCTCATGGCCATGGCACAGGTGACTAAACTAACTCCCTTTAGAAATACTCTAGCATAGTAGCCATGGCTGTACTGTGACATATCCCATGAGTCATTATCACAGAAAAACAAACGCAGTCAGCTAGTACTCATACCATTTCAGATCTGTTTGACCTACAGTACCTGTCAAAAGTTTGGACACACCTACTCATTCAAGGGTTTTTCTTTATTTTTACTATTTTCTACATTGTAGAATAATAGTGAAGACATCAAAACCATGAAATAACACATATGGAATCATGTAGTAACCCCCCAAAAAATCCAGATTGACTGACCTTCATGTCTTAAAGTAATGAAGGTACTGTCGTTTCTCTTTGCTTATTTGAGCTTTCTTGCCATAATATGGACTTTTACCAAATAGGGCAATCTTCTGTATACCCCCCCTACCTTGTCACAACACAACTGATTGGCTCAAACGCATTAAGAAGGAAAAAAATTCCACAAATGAACTTTTAAGAAGGCACACCTGTTAGTTCATGGTTTTGATGTCTTCACTATTATTCTATAATGTAGAAAATAGTAAAAATAAAGAAAAACCCTTGAATGAGTAGGTGTGTCCAAACCTTTGACTGGTACTGTACTTAATGCTTCACTGACAGCTGGAAGTGAAGCGAAACCTGTGTGCTATGTTATTAAACCTTCCCACAATGTTTATCTCACCAGAGAGGAATGACATCAATGTGAAGCATTCTAATCACTCTCACTACCACCCTCTCCCTGAGAAGATAACTGGTTTGACAGCATTTCTCTCTCCCCAAACAGCATGATGATCTCTTTCTGCAGGATTTGATCCCTGATCTGCAGGATTTGATAAACACTCCTCATTCATAAAAGAGTGCGTGCTACTCCCATCTACATATGTTGACAGCAGACCCCCTGAAAATGTGAACTCATCTTAACCATCTAATCAAAGTTAGCCTGAATCAATGGCTCCGGCACAACCTTTTACAACCACAGTGACACATTTGACGGTTTCCATCATGCTATAATTCAGTTTGCAAATGCCTAACGCAATTTCTGAGGAAGGTCAGGAGATGACGTGGAACAGCAGCTAATGCCAGTTCGATTGTGCAAGCCGCTAAGGGCATTGCGTCACAGCAAGGGATGCTAGTCAACAACAGGAGTTTAGATAGAAGAAGGAATGCTTGCTGTCATCCTATTTCCATGGGACATTCCTTGTAGGTCTACTACTTTCAGACAAAATATTGCATTATTAATGAATACAATATGTTTACACAGTCTATGGATATTAATTGTAGACCAAACTGCAATTACAATGGCATTATGCTAACGAATCGTCACCTATGGTGGAGAATGCATGCACAATTCTGTGATACCAAAATGATGAACCATTCTCTAAAACAAAATGCTAAAAAAAGGAGCATGTTTATTTATTTTTTACATAAATAAACCATAGACATTAACATACGCTGCGAGAGCTAAAGATCTAAGCGGTGGTGTATTTAACTCCCCAGCGGGCTAGAGGGATATCTTTGAGTTTAGACAGCCTGTCTTAAGGTTAAATGATCCACAGAGGCCTGTGGTGCTTAGCAACTGCAAACATGACTAATGCAGCCCCGATCCAGCTCCTGACCCAGGTGTGCCGCCTCAGCAGCCCCCCAAGAAAGTCTCCTCTGCCAGGGCACTTCTGGTCTTGCCCAGGTAATTGACGGTGAGTGATCTCTCAAGTCTCCAGGGTGATGATATGGAAAACGTCTTTCCATGCCATGTTAGCCACCACTCGGCCTCTCAGTATACATGTACTAAAAAAACACCCCTGAGTTTAATCCCTTTGCCGCTAACGTTACTATTTGGGCAATTATCATTCAGTCTGTCTTCTAGCAGACTTCAAACCAGTCAGTATAGACACAGGTTAAAGCCACAACTATGTTATAGGCTGTTGAGTTTGAAATACTTTCACAAGACATCCACTTGCATAGATACTGCATAACTTCATTATTCTACCAAGCAAGCCCCTAATTCTCACATTACTCAAAGCTACTTTTCCATATACAGTATCGTATTGCCTTCTCCTTTCCCTTAGTCTTCTTGTCATCATAAATGTCCCTTTAAGATGATTAACATTTCAGCTTACTGCTATCTCCTCAACACAGTGCACAGCCCCCTACTTTCTCTCTCTTTCTCTTCCTCTCTCTCTCTACTATATATCTGTGATGGTTTTACCCATCCAATTATACCCCTTATCAATCTAAAGTCATGATATTTACTATTTCCTGGCATTTTCTGAGTAGGTCGGCCTGTTTTGTGCGACGAGAGACGTGTATGTACTGTATGAGCTAAAGCTTCAGTGGCTACCATGCACTGAGGACCATTTCCTCTTATACGATATGTTAGTGGAATAGCAACAATTAAACTCAAATTCAGTGGTGATAGCGGGGAGAGCTCCCCAGAATTGGATCCTTTGACGAATCCCTACCCTGACTTTCTACACAAGTGAAAATTCGGACCTTAATAAAATATACATTTGCTTTCCACTTGCAGGTGGATGGAGGGGACACTTTGGTTCACTGGCTCTCTCAGCATAGGCTCAATAGCCACAAACATTCAAATCGAATTTTAGGTATCAAATAGCATTTTAGTTAGCAACTATGCTAGTTGAATTTTCAACACTGGGAAACAAACATTATTTTCTCATATTATATTAAGCTTATTTTTTAATTATTTTTTTATACCTCACATAGAATTGCTTTACAGCCCAAGACAATTAGGCTATTATGCACTGTTACATTTCAGTAAGTTGATTGCTAAATGGTGTATTTACAAGTGCACGCATGGATAGCTTCCAATTGTCTCATTCATCCCCCCTCCTCTCCCCTGTAACTATACCCCAGGTCGTTGCTGTAAATGACAACGTGTTCTCAATCAATTTACCTGGTAAAATAAAGGTAAAAAAAACTCTTTAAAAAAAATGTTGCACTCTTATATTCCGAAGTTTTATTTCCATGTCTATTTATGATAGAGATAATACAACTCATAACATGACATTAGGATGTATTATATGAAAGCCATTTAAATGGATCCAACATATAGAAACTTACTAAACAATAGGCCTATTGGCAACGTTTCCATTATCATTCCGGTTTCTATTTTCTTCTGTTGTTTGTTTTACTGTCCATTCTGGCATACGTTTGACATCTTACTGTACAGTAAAAGTAGAGCCAACACATGGGTTTACCATCATCTCCTCTGATAAGTGTATTACAGACTTGGGTTTTTCTCTCAATTTCGAGGTCGGTTCTCTTTGGGTGTGGCCACAGATTAGCCATTATATTGACCAGATACCCTCGTGGCCGCTCTAACAATGAAAATAAATGTCTTAAAAAATGGAAGGCAGTGGGGAGGAGGCAAGAGCAGGTGGGACCTTTCTAACCAATTAGAGGGCAGATACACGTGTGACAGTCAACTGTTTCCACTAGTTGCCACAGCCACAAAGTTGTCTATAAAAAATTCATGAAAACAAACATGAGCTTTTTGGTTTTAATTTGAGGTTAAGGGTTACAAGTGTGGTTAAGGTTAAGATTATGTTTAAAATCACATTTTAAGAAGATACATTATAGAAATAGACTGGGTTTCTACCTTTGTGACTGTGGTAACTAGTGTTTTTTTTCTCAAAGATGTCACGTGTCCAACTTATATCAGTACACTCTTTAAAACCTAATCATTACGAAACTTCTATTCGATCGAATAAGTCAGACGTAGCAAAAAAGCCATTACATTTTTTGTTAACCAAATTCGACACTCTCTCATTGACCTCTATACAAAAACTCCTCGCTTGGTGAGCCCCCCCCCAAAAAAAACGGAAACACTGCCACCTGTTGGAATCATCTTCATTGACCAGGATGTGTTACACCTGTTGTCCTCTTTAGTCAGAAGGTGTTTCCCCTGTGCTAACACAGCTGATATTTAAGGGCTGCTGGCCCAGTGCTTCAATTGGAAGAAGATATTTTAAGACCCAGCTGGAGTTGCTTGGCCAGCACTCAGTAGGTCCCCCATGGATGCCTTTCAGAACCCATTTGAAAACATCACCTGTTTCGTTCTGGTTGTCAGTGGCTCATTTGTTAGTTCCCTTTTTCTGTTGAGTGATGATTTTTGGTTTCTTATTGGGGAACGTAACATGTCAGACATGCACGCACACTCACACGTGTGCACACATATGGACGTAACGCATGCACACATGCACATACTGTACAAGGTAACGCGTGACTCTTTATGTTTTCCCACTGACATTGGTCAACATTTTATCCAGCAAATGGCCTATAATGACATGTTTGTTGTACAGTGAAGTACATAGGCTATATTGAAGTGAAACTCCTTTCTCTGTCTCTGTCAAGTCTCTTCTGAACATTTAAACAACACACAGATATGTATCTGTTTCATTTCCTCTGTCTCTCCTCTTTGTCCTTCAGGCTTCAGCGCAGATAGCACCATAATGGGAGATGAATGGGATGGTTCTCCTCACGGCCGGCCAATTCCCTTTAAAAATCACATCCACAACCCTTCTACAAATCTTCCGCTCACAGTCCCGCTCACACACATTGAGTGGGTCCTCGCGCGATGGCAATCAGACATTCCTTGTAGTCTGGATCTGGAAGGCTTGTGGATTTCACAGGACTGTATAGAACTTGGAGCTCTTTGATGTCACACTAGAGTACTATATGGGAAGATGGCATGACAACTTAAGACATGTTTATAGTAGAGGCAATACATCCTGGTAACTAGTTGAAGGGGAGTTTTTCTGCTGACTGTCATGTGGAAATGTTTGTAACCAACTCAAATATGTGTTTTAATTCTTACTTGCACATGTGAGAAGCATTAGGAATGGAGAATAGGAAGCTGAAGATTAGAGGCTCCAGAAATCAATGGCAAATCAATTAGGATGGGAAAAAATTAGGTTGGGCTGCCTTTTAACAATCAGTTGTCAATTGTAAACCTAATTGTCAGCAGTAGGTAATAGCATTACAGTTGTGAGGTTTGCAGCAGCAAAGATTTGGGCTAGTTCATTTCAACTAGAAAATCTAAACGGAATAGAAAAATCCGGTAACACTTAATTTTAAGGTCTCCTTATTACAGTGTAATTACATGTGTAATTAGTATTGTAGTTAATTGTAATAACTCATAGTTACACTGTAATAACAACATGTAACTGGTAGTAATTGCAGTCTGTCATTACAGAGATGTAACAACAAATGCTTGTTACAAATAATTCTCCATTCAGTGTTGCTGCTAGCACTTTCCGACAAAAAGTGTACCATCTGGGTTAACTTGGTTGAGTTTACAAAAACAGATCAGCTATACACTGAGTGTACAAAACATTAGGAACTCCTTCCTAATATTGAGTTTCACTCCCTTTTGCCCTCAAAACAGCCTCAATACGTTGGGGCATGGTCTACAAGGTGTCGAAAGGATGCTGGCCCATGTTGACTCCAATGCTTCCCACAGTTGTGTCAAGTTGGTTGGATATCCTTTGGGTGGTTAACCATTCTTGATACACACGGGAAACTGTTGAGTGTGAAAAACCCAGCAGCGTTGCAGTTCTTGACACACTCAAACCGGTGCGCCTGGCACCTACTACCATACCCTGTTCAAAGGGGCTTAAATATTTTGTCTTTCCCATTCACCCTCTGAATGGCACACATACACAATCCATGTCTCAATTGTCTCAAGGCTTAAAAATGTAACCTGTCTCCTTCCCTTCATCTACACTGGTTGAAGTGGATTTAACAGGTGACATCAATAAGGGATCATAGCTGTATTCACCTGGTCTGTCTATGTCATGGAAAGAGCAGGTGTTCCTGATGTTTTGTACACTC